CCCCCCCAAACGCTAGGCTACCATCTGCCCTTTCTAGTCTGGCAGTTAGACACACACCATTGTTCGGTCATTCTCGCAATCCAATCACTTAATCTGGACTATCAACAGCATCACCCCCAACTATAGCATAAAGGCTGCCCCCTCTGCACTTCATTTCAGCTCTGATGAAGAGTCATCTAGATGTGAAACATTAGCCTGCTTTCTTTCCATGGATGCTGTCTGACCCCCCTATGATCTCCAGCACTTGTTTTTAGTACAGATTCCAGCATCTACAGTAATTTGCTTCTCTGAATTAATGTTTCGGGTCCTGTGACAGAAGCAGAAGAAATCTTTAAAACGTTCCTTCGTCTACAAAGCTGAACAGGGTCTGCTTCCTGCAGAAACGAAATCCTGGTTCCTCCACCTGTTCTAATCAGATAAAATCAACGAGAGAAAATTGGGTGAAACCTGTCTGCATTTAGAATCTGAACAGAAATTGAGAGCTTTTCAAGGTTCTCCCCAACTCTGTTAGGCTGACTGCCTGTTATATCTCCTGCTGAGTAAGAAACCATCTGCATGAGTGTCTGTGAAGAGAACTGCAGCTTCAGAGGGACAGCAGGCCCATTGCAGGAGATTGGAAGAGGTCCCACGTTGGCACCTTCATTCTAAACGGTTCTTTGAAAATGTTAGTGTTCAATATGACAATGAGGCCAAGCTCAGTGATCAACAGGTGGCTCCAGATCTCTGCTCAGCTCCTACTTCATTAATACATTAATTAGTCTGTGTTCTGAAGAAGGATCACTGGATTTGAAATGTTAATTCTGCTTCTCTCCACAGATGCTGCTAAATCTGCTGAGTTTCTCCAGCAATTTCCATTTTTTGTTACTAATTAATACATACTATGTTTTCTGTCAGCCAGCCAATATTTTATCAATGCTAATATCAACCCTCTCCCTGCCACAAGGTTTACTTTCCACAATATACATCGATGGGGCACCTTAACAAATGTCTCCTGGAAATCTAAGTACATTACCATCTCTAGGTTCCCTTTGTCTTTTTGTTTTTCTCTTTATGTCCCTTATCCTTCTCTAACCCTCATTTCCCTCATTACGATTTATCACTCTTGCCTTGTGTCAGCCCTTTAAATCTACTATGTCTTTCTGTATTTGATCACTAGACTCCATTATTTAGTTTGAAGCCATCTGTACTTCCCTAGTTACATAGTTCATAGGAGCACAGCATTTCTGGTGTAGACTGTTCCAATAGTACAGCCCCACTTTCTCAAGTACCCATGAACTAATTTCCTCACACTAATGTTTAAACCATTTACTTGTCACTATATTTTGTAGCTCTATTCATTTGCATGAGCACATCAATCCAGAAAATTATAATTTTTTAATACATGGCTTCCTATTCTTTATGAAGAAACTACGAATTTTGTTTTGTTGATACTTCTATGGACCACAACAACTGGATCCCTCCATTAACAAATTTATCTCTAGTCTTAAGCAGATGGCACCAGGGAGGCAACACAACATTTGGATTCATTCTTGCCTGCACTGAACAGTGTCAATGCCCCTCACTGTATTATCTCTTACTACATTCCTTGTTGCTTTCCCCACTTGAATAGCTTCCTGTACCAGGGTACCACGTTTAGTTTGCTCATCCAGTCTGAGACCCACACTCATCTGGAAAAGCTAAGATAACCTCAAACCTATTAGACAGTTGAAGAGAATGAGACTCCTGCCCTCTGGGGCCCTTATGTGCCTCACTCTACAGTCATATTCTCCTGTTCCTAACCACTGACCGAATCAGAATATTCTATCCTAAGCACAGCATGCCATTGGCCGACAAATGAGCAGCATACAGGGTAAACCTTGCTAAGTACAGTTCAGGGCAATGCTTCATGAACTATCACATTCAACATAAGCAGAAATCAGTGTGCCTCTACCTCTAACCAAACGATGCAATCTCCTCACCCCAAACTGAGAAACAATAAGGGCAATGCTCTATCACTATCATAGAATGATTATTAATGTAATTGGGGGCTACCTGCCCAGTCATGTTCATACAGACTCTGCAAGGACAATTCAGCCAATCCTACCTACACTCTTACCTGGTCCCTGTAGTCCTGCTGCTTGTTTGTTTTCCCTTCAGGTGCTTATCCAATTCTTTCTTTGAAAACCACAATCGATATATTCTCCCAACACACTCGGGCAGTACATTCTAGATCCTCACCATGCACTACGTAAATTGGGTTTTGCTCATGTCACCTTTTGCTATTTTGTCAAATACGTTAAATCAGTGTTCTCTGATTCTTGACTCCAATGACCTCAACGTGAACAGTTCCTCTCTCTTTACTGTCTGTACACCTTTTGATTTTGAACACTTCAAACAAATCTCTCCTAATTCTTCTGCAATGGGAACAATGCAAACTCTCTGGTTTGTCTACATAATTGAAGTACCTCACTGCAATTATTCTCAGATCTGTGCATCGTAACTTCCTTGCTTGTACTCTATGTTTCTATTTATAAAGCATGCCATATGCCTTTTTAAACAATTCCTTGATCTGCCCTGTCCCTTCACAATTTCGAGTCATACTGCATAGAAACTGAAGCATTGATCCAACTCGTCCATGTTGACTAGATATCCTAAACTGAACTAATCCCATTTGCCTGTGTTGGACCCATATCCTTCTAAACACTTTCTGTTCATTTACCTGTCC